CGTTTGTTCTTTCGAATTTCTGAAATTGAATGCATTATTATACACGTGAAATTTTGAGTTTTTTATTTTTCATGAAAAATATCCATTCTGTTTGTGGACACTGGCCGCGGAATTATATACATCAAAAGTCAATTATAATCAAGAAATTAAGCAAGAACTCAATAGTGCTTCCTGATGGGTACAATTGCCTACCACTTCGTAACCACGAATTTCAACAATTTGCCTCAAATGAAAACACATTAGTGTTTCAAATTCACGTTAATGGAACGCGCTCGACCTTAAACGGAGTCCTAAATCGTGTCTCAAATCAATTAGCAAAACATTCTCTCGACATAAAGCGCTCCTCTGAGTGACCAAAGGCGCGCACAGTTAAGCTAGAGCCTTCATTTACTTGCCGGCGGTGTTAGCATTTTCCTTTGAACACCGCCTCTCTGGGCAAAAACCACGGATAATCATGGAGATTTTGTCGCAGTTGTGTGGTTTCGGCTTAGCGTGGCTGAGCATGATTGCATGCGTCTTGTCGCATTGCGGTTTAACGCCAAACGGATCATGTCTCCTCGACGAGCCGCTATTTCATCCGTTGCCATATCGCTACCCAACAAATCAGTCTATTTCTATAAAAGCGTACCCGCAAAAATAGATGTTTCTTCGCCACTTTATGGATACTTGAACAAGACACACAAAGAGAAATGACTCAAATGATGAATATTGAAATCCGCAACTGGAATCCGGATTCGTTTCAATTTTAAAGACTCCTATAGCCTTGCAGGCTGAGTAAAATTGAGTGACAGTACAAGACCCCCGTGTGAAGACATCCTGGAATTTTTATACTGCAAAGGTGAATTATCACAGCATTTCAACATCTAAAGAATAAAAATTTGGTCATGCTGCATAGCATGATAATTCATCTTCAATTTTCGAAGTAGGCCAGAAAATATCCCCCTTATGACAGAATTTATCTACTCGAGGAAGTGTGTCTTATACTATCTAAAAATATTTCCGAGCAGTAACTCATGCACAACACAAATCACCTGACAAGTTTGACGTACCTAAGTTCTGTTATTGAATTCAAATCTCTTGAACAATATAATTTATGATAGAAAAAAGGATAAATCCTTTTCAATTTTTAGTGATGCTGTAGCGTACGTACAGAGAATACCTTTTAGCTTTACATCAATGACTCTGTGAAACACAGGCCATGGTGTTTTAGACACATAAAAAAGCACCCGTAGATAAATCAGAATCCGGTGGGTTCATTTTGTCCCTAAAATAGTGAATTTTGGAGGTGAGTTACAGAGTGCATCATGTGTTTGTTGCGTGCATCCCTATTTAATCGTTTCACCCCAGGTGTCACGGAGATAAATCCTTCGGCGAATCCTCTAAACTTCGTGAATTATCCCCCCCCCCCCCCGCCTTCAATATTTATTACCGAGTAGTTGAGTCGTGAACACTGAAGCCTCTGAGTAACCGCCGAAAGCTAGTTGGCAACATAACTTCCAAATTTTGTTGCAATTATAAAAATATTCAAGAGCTTTCGATGGGGCAACCGAATCATTTGGCGTTGAGTGCTTAAAGTCTTTAAAAGGCTTATATCTCACAACGTTCGTGTATAATGTTGCTCTCCATGAAAAATTTCGTGAAAAACAGGAGGGTTATGCTGTTCATTAAGTTCACTAAGTTCATTAAGTCAAATTCACTGACATTCAAATTCTTTGCTTCCATTTGGCAGCATGTTTGATGTAGTGCAATTTGCATCACATATAGAAGCCGACCAGAGTCCAGTCCGACAGTCGGGTTGTCAGATTTTGCGGTTAATTCAGGAATTTTGTGAAGCAATCGATGCAACACTGGTGATTTTTAACACCAAGTGACATTTGTCGGCTTTCTCAAAGGACAAGAAGGAGCAAGCGTGCAAATGATCGAGGCTGTGACCCAGCACCTTGTTGGGTCGTGGAATTTTTAATTGACATTTGATTAGTATCGCTTAAGCCGAGCCAAGTCTTTAGACAAGGCTTGCAGCCTTGCAGCCTTTCCTTTCGAAATGTTCACTTTGCTTGACATATGGGTGACTTATCGGCCTATTGCGTGGACATACTTGAGGACGTCATTTACTCTAAATAAAATATACAAAAAGGTCGTGAGGTAAACCTATTGAGATTCAGTCGTGATGTAGAAATGAGCTGTGTTTCTTGGACAGCGTTACCAAGATTCATTGGAAAATTTATTTTTTTACAAAAGAAATGGGTGTGTGACACGGGCGCAGGATCACACACTGCTTGACTTCAAGAGGATACTAGTCTCTAGCCCTTTGCACACGTTGCAAGTGTTTTACTGAAAGTGGGGATCATCGGTGCATCACTCATCGATGATCGTGAAATGTGTTGCAAAAACCCTCATTGATGATCGTGATGCACTGATGACCCCCACTTTCAACTTGAAACTTGCAACGTGGGCAAAGGGCATTTGGGTAAAACTCAACAAAAATAGCTCCTCTGAAAAATCTGCATTGTAAAAATGAAGGTTCTTTTGAATGTAGACGGTTACAAAGGCAGGTAAATATCTAATCTATTGTCTCTCCTTTTGTGTAAGCTTATCAGGAGATGGTTTATTTTAAGTTACGTATGTTCACTTTGGCTGGTTATTTTGTAAATGGACTGCATTTTGCAATTTGGAACTATAAATTCTGGCTCTTCTGGGAAAACACTTACGTGCATTGGGAAACTAATGGCACATACGTTTTTTTTTTTAACCGGGCTAGAATCTATAGGTCCAAATTGCAAAATGTAGTCCAAATGATCTTTTCCTTATAATTCAAGTTTTTGTCTTTTCAACTCTTACTATAAATAACTTCTTCACCCATTAATCCCTTCAAAGACCGCAGTATCCTCTAAATATGACGCCTAAGAAAGCGATAAAAAAATCTTATATTTTCGTTCTGATTTAAAGTAAGTCTTAATCCAAAATATAACATCCCTCGTTGGAGTTCTAAATGTAGTTAAGTCAAAGCAAAATGTGGCAGCTTGGTTTAGATTTAAACGATCATTTTAAGAGGGAACTCGTAAATTTAGTATCCATCTACAAAGTCATTTATGGAGTATAAAGGAATGTCTATTTTGAAGCGATTAAGGAGGAAAATGAGTTGAGGCGCCTTGAAAAACTCATTTTTCGCAATGCGAGGAGTTTCTGCGTTATTTCATTCGGGTCTGCGTGGCTTACGCCGCGCTCTTTTGTTATCCCACACATTCAGCGAGTGTTTAGAGCTAATCCTTTTTTTTAAGCCTCTATTATAGCTCATTTTTTAGTACGAGTTAATTAAAAACTCTCTTCAAGCTGTACAGGATATTTCGGGGGATCAGGGAGGGCTTTTGGGAAAGCTGTTCACGGATGACCGCATGAATCCTCCTCTTCCAAAATGCAAGAAGACAAGATTTTCTGTGACGGTTTGAACTTTCCGGAAATTTTTCACCAATTTGCATAAATAGCGAATTCTGTTATCATTTTTTGATCTGTTATTTTTCGCTTTGGACATCTCCCCTCGCCCCCGGGACCTCGCTTTTCTGAAACGAAGGTGACCATTGTTCAGTAAAGAGACCTTGGCTTGAGACCACAAAGTGTTCAGTAGTGCGATTTTGATGAAGCTTTCTTGAAAAATAGTATTTTGATATATTTATGGAACATTCTCTCTACGATCCTTAAGCCGGAATCACACGCTGAATTTGGCAGCTGAAAATGGGAGTCGACAGTCATCGCTCAACAGCTGAAATTTCGCAAATTCGAGTTATTTTCATCCAGATGTGTATATCAAAACTGTTCGAGTAGTTCGCAGGCAAATCCGACATTATCCGATGGTTGCTGAGAATCGTTGCTGAATTTTGCGCGTGACGCGCAAAATATTTAGTGTGTGATTGCGGCATAAGGTATAAATTGTGAGATGATAAGTTCATTTTTGTGCCAGTAGAGGACGTATAAAATTGCACTCGAACACTGTTGTGCCCTTGCCGTGCAATGCCAACAAATGGCAAACTCAACAACGAAGTCGAGGTTTCCTGAACCGAAAAAGTTCCGTGTTCATGTACTGCCATGCTTAGGAAATCGCTGTATGAACTTTTAGGCGTTGCCAAATAGCCATTGATAAAACCCCGATCCCTTGGTAAACTTATGAATATTTTTCTTCTAAATTCTCAGATACTATTATCAGCAATGCTTCACTTAAAGTTCTTGAAAATTTTGAGTAAAAATATTCTTAACTAACTAACTAATTAACTAACACAAGTCGCTCTTACAGCGCTTCCGTGCGCTCTGTGAAACCCAACCGCCACTGATAGCGATCCTGCCAGAGCGCCTCCGGCAGATCGCATCTCCTCATTTCCTGCCTTCCCTCAATCCACGATTTGGCAGGGCGTCCTCTACGCTTTCTGCCAGAGGGGGCCCAATCCAGAACCTTCTTAGGCAACCTATCATCTGACATCCGTTCCACATGGCCATACCAGACAACCTGTCTTGTGACAATGTCATGCGCTATGTTGTTTTCGACGCCCAGAATTTCACCTATCCTCTCATTCCGAACGTGATCCTTTCTCGACACTCCGGCCGATATTCTTAGCTATTCTTTAAAATGAACGTTTTATGGAAGGAAATATCAACTCTCGAATGTTCATACGAGGTTTTTCCTTGGCACGACAGAGTAGGAACAGGAGGTCAGCCCTGCCGTGCTAAGGAAGAACGCCGTATGAATATTCGAGCGTTGCCAACTTTCCTCCGATAAAATATTCATTTTTGAGAAAAGTTCTCAATATTTTTCCTTAAAATTTTTAGACTATTCAGATCAAATTACGAAGGAACATCCCTGAAAAATTGAACGAACATTTTTTATAAATATTCCCGAAAATTCGTGATTTATCCAAGGAAATTTGGCAACACCTGAAGGCTCATACGGCGTTTTTCCTCACTGTGATAGATTTTTTCCTCTCCGTAATCGTGCTGTCTTTTTTGTGTTGCAGAATGCGTCGTACGGGAAGAAAGTAGGCGGAGTGTGGTACACGGCGCCAGTGGTGGGGGCTTCGCACGGGCAGGGATGGAATAAGACGCCGACGATGAGCAGGAAGCAGTCCCTCGTCGACTCGGAGCTCCCGCCGCCGACGGGTGGCCCCCCCGGGAAGCCCGGCTCCGGCCGCGTCATCCGCATCATCAACAACATGGACCACACTGTTCAGGTAAGAATCTCCTCATTGACGAGCATGAGTTCGAACTAGAGTACCTATATTGAGAGAGTATGGCCACTGGAGTTACCACCTCTGATTGGCTCAACCATCTTAGGCTGAATGGAGCCCTCAGGACCCAAAAATGGCGGACGCCATAAAGTTAATGTAATGCAAAATGATTCAAAATGTAGTTGTCTTTGCTTATCGTAACGAGAACTTTACCCAAATGCACTATTGCGACTTTTTTACATATTTTTAAGGCTAATCGTGTGCAATTTTTGAGAAAAACGATCTTAGATGTAGTAAGGTTGGCAGCAAGTGCGGTTGGTGATAACCGTCAAAAGTTGGCAATGACCCCCCTCCCATCCTCAAAAACCAAAACAAAGCACCGCCATTTTTGGGTCC